TTTTTTTTGGTTTTTCTCCGGTACCGGGAACCGAACTCACGACCTTGCGCTTGCCAGGCAGGTGCTTTTGCCACTGAGCTAAATCCCCAGCCCCTCAGAGGGCTTTAATCTTGTTACTTTTTTAAAAAAAACATTGACTCCTTCAGCCCTAACCCCAGGCAAGCCTCACAGGACAGCATCAGCCACCGCCCCTGCCAGTCTAACTGGCTCACCCCAGACTGAGGCGGAGTTCCTGGCCAAGGCTCAGCCCCCGTCTTTTCAGTACCTCCCAGGCTGTGGACAGAGGTCAGTGACGGCCAGGATAGACCTGACCCCATTTGGTCTGGTTCTCTAACCAAAGCAAGAGTTTGCTCCAGGGCTTCCATCTGAGGAAAGGCAAGGTTCGGACGCCCTGGGCAACCCAGGCTCTTAAACCCTATGTCCCAGAGCAGGCAAAGTCAGTGCTGGATGGGACGCCTCCCCCACAGGCCGCTTGTCAAGGCCCGTGTGACCTAGCACGTGGGTGTCTCATCCCTGCCCGAGAGCAAGGTGTCATCTAGAGCCAAAGCTCCCTGGAGGGCCTTGGCCAGGTCCCCTGACAGTGCCAGGGTTCATTTATCTCTGTCCTCTAAAGTCCCTTCGGACCCCCAATGGATTGGGAACACCCCTCGGGCAGATCTGTGTTTTTCTCAAAACCACAGCAATTTCTGTCATAAAATGTTGCAGAGAAACGGACTTCCAGGCAACTTTTCCGCACGCTGACCTGAATGACGAACTCGGAGGGTGCCTCCCTGCCCAGTCTGAGGCCCAGGTCCTGGCCCACGCAGGGGGCACAGAGAAGCCACCAGCTCACCTGCAACACTAGGTCTTCTGCACCCAGGCTCCAGGCCCCTGGGGTCCTCACTACCCCTGGGCCCGGGCCTCTTCTCTGGTGGAGGAACAGGCCAGGGGACCCCAGCTGCTTCTGCAGAAAGAGCACACAGCACTTGGGGAAGGGTTATGTATCCTTCTGCAGGAGCTGCTCCGACACGGGGATCTTCTGATGCGGCCCCCCAAAAATCAAACTTTCAGCTTTGAAACAATGATTAAATGAGATGCAGGATGGAGCCCTGGTCAGTCGGGGAGCCCAGCCTGTTACGGTGAGTGCTAGAGAGAACGGTGCTGGGTGCTGTTTGCAGGTGACTCAGAGTCCTCCACAGTTCCAGCCTTAGCCATGGGTCCCCCAGGACAGGGACAGGTGCGCAGGATCTGATCACTCTACCATTTTCCTCTGGGTGCCCAGGGCTATGGGGAACACGGTACAGCCTCGCCCCGACACTAGGCACACACAGGCCAAGGCCTGAGAATGCAGCCAGCCTCCCTGAGTGCTCTCTGGGCCCTACCTCCTCTTCTTCCTCCTCTGGCTTCGGCACTGCTGAGAAGGCCAGGCCGACAGGCACTCTCTGCGCCTTCTTCTCTGCTGAGCCACAGAGAGCTGCCTCCCATCTTGTCTTCTGCTTTTCCTGCTGGGAGCAAAGCCTAGGTCACAGCCAGGATGGAGAAGTAAAGTGGCCGAGCACAGAAGCTGGCATCTCCAGCAGCATTTTTTTTTTTTTTTTTTTTTTTTTCTGTACTGGGGACTGAACCCGGATCCTTCATACCAAACTCCTCCAAAATAATTTTTTATTTTGAGACAGGGACTCACTAAGTCACTAAGTTGCCCAAACCGGGCTCAAACTTGCAATTTTCTTGCCTCAGCTTCCTAGAGGGCTGGAATTACAGGCATGCACCACCAAGCCAGCCATGTCTACCCTTCTCAATGGGACAACCTCAAATATGTTCTCCCAGTGAGAAAATCTCACTTTTGACACTTCTTTTGTTGACTGTCAAGTTTTAAAAATATTGTAATATTACCTGATATTACGTTAATACTGTGTACATACACATTCATATGCGTGTTTCACATGCATATATATGAAGCACATGGTGTGCATATATCTTTAAACAACTTGCCACAATTTTCTCTGCATGGATGCTCACAAGTGCGGCCCATGCCGCCTACCAAACAGCCTGCCTTCTCTGCTCAGCTCTCCTTCTGGAGAACTAAAGCATCAAAAACTGAGAGGACTCTGGCCAGAACCAGGCAGAGAGTCGGACGGGGCACAGGGAACAGTCTGGAGCCCTGGCTGCCGGGGGACAAATGACTGCCCACCTGGGAAACTCCAGCTCACCTGCCCTGAGGCTGCTGCGGTCCTGGGGCTCTGTTCTCCCAGGGTCTTCTGCGGGGCTGCTGCTGCTATTGCCTGTGGGGGACCCGCTGGGGCCAGGGGACAGAGGGACGGGATGCTTGCAGCGGGGAGGGTGGCCTCTCTCTGTGTCATAAGCAAGCAGGTGTCAGAGTGCTCAGCAGCACCCCAGGGAGCACCTCACTGCCCTACCCCGCAGGCTCACCCTGGAGGGGCTGCTGCCAGAGCTCAGGTTCTGGCCTCAGGTCTTCTCCGTCCGAGCTGTAGAGGCTTGAACTGGAGCTGGGCCCCGGCCCGGGGCTGGGGTCAGTTAGGCAGGTGAAACGCAAGGGCCTGGCAGGCAGAATTCCCCGCAGAGAGCTCTCCAGGCAGTGCAGTGGGGAGGGCCTGGCAACCACGCCTAGACAAACGACAGAGAGCTGCTGTCCATCGCCCATGGAAGATGGGAGGAGCTTTTGGCTCTGCGCACAGCACGCATGGGCTCTGACAGGGCCCGAACAGCTCACTCACTGGCCGCGAGAGGTGCAGGGAAGGTAAGCCAGACCCAAGTCTCGCCTCCTCTGGAAAGTCAGCCAGGAAACTTCCAGAAGCTGCTAGTGGTCAGGTTCTGGCCAAGTCCCAGGTCTAATAAGCCAGGCAGGCCTTCCCTCGTGGCAGGCCACTGTCCCTTCACCCAGAGCCACACAGAGGCTATGAGTTTGGAGAGCGCTAGTTAGTCACACTGATAAGCTGTCATCCTTTCCCCCGCTGCAGGCCTGGGGCACTGCTGGAGAGCTATCCAGGGTCCCCTCCCTGCAGCAGCATCTCCCCGAGAAACCTAAAGGCTGACAGAACAAGGGCCCTCCGCCCAGCTCTCAGCACTGGTGTGACTTCCTCTTTCATCTTTCCTAGCACATGGAAGCTTCTGCCTGGCCCTGGCGTCTATATTCCAGGGAGAGGAGGAACAGGAACAGAGAGAGATGGGAAATCTACTTCCTTCTCAGCAACTCTGAATGAAAGAAAAATACACCAGGAAATACCGAGGGCAGTTTACCATCTTGGGGCCACCTCCACGGTCCTGGCCTGGTGGCCCCCTGGTCTTTGGGCCCTTGCTGGTGGCAGGCAGGGACACAGCTGGAGGGGAAGGCCTGTGGGCTGGCCAGGCGGGGGCTCTGCGCGGAGGCCTCTCCTCCCTGTGCACGGTGGGCTGGCTCGCAGGCCTCGCCTCTCAGTCCTGTTTCAAGGGAAAGCCAGGAGGCCGGTCAGTCCCATGGGGCCTTGTGCTGTCCTTCAGGACAGGGAGTGTCACCGCAGTGGGGTCCTCAGGCACTGGGTTTCAGGTGTGGGACTCTGCCCAGGTGCCTCTAGAATATCTCCTCAGCTCAGGTGGGTCTTCCCTGCAGGCTGCTGGGGGCAACGGTGCCCAGGCGACCGCATGGTGGCAGCTGGGCCCGCTCCCAGAGCCCCTTCCACCCCCAGTGGCTGCAGAAGCCGCCGAGTTACCTTCCTTGTGTGCTGTCCAGTTCCTGGCCTCCGCTCTCCTCGGGCCTCTGTCTGCTGCAGAGGTGCAGGGCTGTGCAGGCTGCGGCCTGGGAACAGGGATCTCCCTGAGGCAGTTCTCCAGCCCCTGGAGCGGGGAGCTCCCTGGTGCACACCCTGTGAAGGTCAAACATTCTCAGTCTTGGCTGTGGCTCAGGCTCAACCCGAGATTGCCTCTTCCACCGTGAGCTGTCACAGCTCAGGCACCTACACAGGGACCTGGCCCTAAACACATGGCAGGCCTGCTCGGGCTTCTCCAGAGGAAGCCCAGCGTGTGGGGGCCGCCATGGCAAGGGATGACACCACCTAGTGGCCCTAACGATTGAATGTGGGTGAGGTTTCCTCTGCCTCTTGAAGGAGGACAACAATTTGATCTTCCTTGCTGCCGGATGTGACAGGCCATGGCACGCCAGCTCTCAAGTGACCTTAGCTAGGAAAGAAGCAAACACACTACAAAAATTGTACTCCTTGTGAGAGCCATGAGGGCCATAGGAGCTGACACCCTGAGTGGGAGTCAGGAGGGAGAGACCGTCCTGGGAGTGGAGGGGCTGGGTGTGAGCTACCGCAGGACAGTCGCCAGACTTGGGTCTCCTGCTAGTCTACTAGCAGAGGGGACCAGAAGAGTAGCATGCCTCAAGACACTGCACTCTGACACAAAGAAAGAAGCGGTGCTGGGAGCCCAAGAATATTAAGACAACATGTAGGAAGATGTTGAAGACAAGCGGCAAGATGGGGAAGCAGATACCACTGTCTATGTGAAGGCACAGATGTCTGGAAGGTAGATGAACTCACAGCAGGGCTGGCATGGGGACACAAAGACGGAGTGGGGGGCCAGGGAAGGAGGGAGAACCCACTTTTCCCACAGCACCTTTCCTTGCTTTTGGACAAAACCATGTGATACTACCTATTAAAAACTAAACATTAAGAGAAGTCTGCTGTGCTTTAGGGGAGAAGCTCCCACCCAAGGGGGTCCCCCAGGTAGGACTCAGGCAGAGAGAAGGACCGAGGCTGGCTCACTGGATCCCCCTGGCCCAGTCCGGGCCCTGGCCCAGGCCCTTCCCCTAACGATGAGATTAGAATACAGACACAAGCAGACAAACCATATGTCCACCTGTGGGACAAGACGGAGCAAGAGTCTTTGCGTTATTCAGATAGGAAAAGGCCAAAAGGGGGCGCTGGAGAGGAAGCATCCTCAGTTTCCAGGGCCAGGATGACCGCCCTGGGGGCTCCAGGGAGCACACACCCTACTGAAGGTGTCTCACAGGGGCCTTGTGACTTTTTCCCTAGGGTGGTGAGCCAGGTGTTACAGGCAAGTCTCTGGCTGGAAGAAGGACACACTTAATGCAGAGATTTTTTAAGAGACCTCAGACACTGTCCCGCCCCGGCTGAGCCAAGTTTCCTCCCCACCCAACCCTACCCCACCTGAGACAAGGTTGGCGTCTGCTTCTGCCTCAGTATCCCCAGTCTGCCTTTGGCAACGGGCACAGGGGCCCGAGATGATGGTGGCTAGAGCCTCCTGCTGGTTCCCGGAGGGACTCACCTTTGCCAGGGTGCTGGCCCTGGCTGCCCGCAGGGCTCCTGAAGTCCAGGTCCCCGTCGGTGCTGCTGGCTGAGGAGAAGCTGGTGGGGGTCCCTTGGGGAACCAGGGGTTGGGTGGGGCCCAGAGGTGCAAGTGGCTCCCTGATGGCATCTGTAGAGAGCAGCACAGTGACAGCACAGCCTGCTGGGAAAGAGGTCCCCGGAGGGGTGGCACCAGGAGACCTTGCCCCAAAGGATTTGCCAACAGGGCTTCCCATGGTGCTGAGGAAAGTCCTGAGACCCCACAGTTCATCTGGGGTCTATGGAGAAGAGCTCACAGAGGACGCGGCAGGGAGACTGTGGGGAGCTCTGACGGAAGAGAAGAGACTAGGGAGAGAGGCAGGCAGGCCCCAGGGGCCAGGAGGGGACATGACAGTGTCCTCGGCACCTCCCGCTACTCCATGCACAGGGACAAAGCCCACCCCAGGCCCATGGCCACATCTACCTTCACCGGGTGATCCTTGGGGCCGCAGCTCAGGCCTCTGAGACCCAGCATCTCCTGGCTGGGGGATCCGGGACCAAGAGGTGGCCAGTGGCTGGGAAGGTGACAACGCACTTGTGGGAATGCCCTTCAGACAAGCCTCCAGGGCTTCCAGGGGTGAGCTTGACGCCCTGCAAGCTGTGAGAGGGGAGAGTAGCCTGGCATCCTCTCTCACAGCTTCCCTGGCCCTGCCTTCTGCAAAGGTGACAAGTCCTGCACCCGGCTCTGGGGATGCGCCAGGCGGGAAATGCCCCCATAGGGGACTTGGGATCTGCACTCTGGGTCTCACTGGGAGATAGGGCAGACAACCCAGGCCTCACCTTGAGCCTCAGGGCCCCAGACGGGCACGTGGACCCCTCTGGCGTCTCCGGTGGCAGAGGGGCTGTGGCCCTGACTGCTGAGCTGGCAGGATGCAGGCACCAGGGTGCTCTGGGCCCAGCTGTCCTCCACCTTCACCGCAGTGAGTGTGCCAGCAGCTCCGGGACCAGCAAGCGGAGGCGGGGTCTGGAGGCGTCTGGGCCCTGTGGGAAGGCAGGCGGTGGGGAGGCCCAGGCTGCAGGCTGGCACTCACCCCGGTCCTGTGAGGCTGCAGAGGGTTAGCAGGGGCTTCCAGGGCCCTCTGCTGCCCTGGCAGTCATGGCTCCGGAAACGGTCCCATTTCAACCAGCGCAGACCCAAATCACACCCCTCCCACCCAGAGGCCTGGTGTTCTGGAGCACTGGTCTAAGAGGTGCAGCGAGCTGACCCAAGTCAGCACCAAGTCGTATCCTTCCTCTTGGCCAGCATACCTGGCTCACCCCACCCTGTCAAGCTTTGTTCTGAACTCAGGTATAGAGAAACAGGTGGGCATGGAAATGGGGGCCCGTCCCATACACACTGATGGGAACCCCAAATCACAACTGTGCCCTGAGGGTGAGCTAAACTACAACTCCACCTTGCATTACTTGGCCTCTCTTCCTCCCCATGGTCCTTCTCTTCCCTCCGGAATTTTCACCACTGTAAGAGGCAGTTCAGGAAATTCTCAAGCTCTGGTCAAGCACTTCCTGCATGCCTCGTCCAGGTACACAGTGACGACCCCCACATGTGGCTCCTGTGACTGGCACACTGACGAGGGCCTGTGTGTCTTGCTGTGGAAGGTCACCCATAGCCAGATGACGTGTCTCATGTGGGGCTCTCCTAGCCCAGCCTTTACCTCCAGGATTCCTCTTCCAGGGCCCTGGATCTTCCTGCACGAATGGGTGCCCTGCTCTTGAGGGGCTAGGATGCCTGTTCTGGGTCTCTGGAATCTCTTTCAGACAGTTCAGCAGACCCTGGAGGGGACAGCCCCCCAAAGTGGCCTCGGTCTTCACTAAGGGAAAAAGGCACGTTTCCACCTAAGCCCAGCATCCTCAGCCCTCCTGACGACAGACAAAGGAAGAAGGCTACAGGGCCAGAAATCTGGAACTCGGGTCTCCCTGTGGCTTTCTTAGTCTTGTACGAGCCACCGCCATCTCAGTGCCTGACGTGCAGATGCCTGGTGACCACGCACCTCACAGAACTGGGTGGACAAGAGGGGAGGGCAGGAGAGCGCACCAAAAGGTAAGGGTGGGGGAGTGGGGTTCCACACAGCAGCCTGAAGCCACTACCAAGACAGCTCCCTGGTCCCAAGGCACAATGCCCTTCGAGGAGGGGCAGTCTCTGACAGACACGCAGACACACACGTGTAATGGGACACATGCTGAAACAAGGGCCAAGGCTTCGGTGGCCTGTGTGCCTGTCACTCCACAGCACTCCCCAGGCCTCCAAGTCCACACTAAGCCCCTCACTGAGGGTCCACAGGAAGTGACAGGTGAGTGGTATTAGCAAGAGTAAAGAGCACCGAGGAAACCAGGGCAGAGTCTGCCACTGAGTTTTTCTTTTTCTTTAGTGAAACCCTGTCCTTGAAGAGCCACTTGGCTACAGACACATGACACCTGGGCTGAAGTAGGGGCCTGGGTGGTAAACCAAGGCAGATGGTGCGCAGCTGAGAAACAGCTATAGCACAGCAACACGAGCTTTCCAGGGACTCACCTGGCCAGGGTGGGCTCCCTGGCCCCACGTCTACTCTGGTTTGCCTTGACGAACCTAGGCTCAGGAGACGAGGTACTGAGCCTGGGGCTGCGTCAGGGTGCTGGGGCCCGGGCACGAGGATTTCTTTGAGGCAGTTGATGAGGCCTTGCAAGGGGCTGGTCCCAGGAGAGACTCCTGCGTGTGCACACAAGATCGAGGAGGTCAGTGTGGTCCAGACGCGGCAGCATGAGGATGTCACCAGCTCGCCCAGCCAACCGACAGGCCTGCCTGTGTTACGAGGCTCAGACAGGCGCATGACACAACCTCCCCACGTGGCCTAAACACCTCACCCTCCCGATCACAGCCCCACTCAGCCCCAGGGCTGCCCCTCCCTCAGGAAAGCCGGCTTCTCACCTATCCCCGTGGCCGCTCTCTCCTGTCTCTGGTGGCTGTTCCTCTGGCTGGGGCTGCCGGTGGGAGTGCTTGGCTCTGCACTTGGGGCTTCTGGGCCTTCCTTCCCTGTGGGCCATGGTCTGTCAGCAGTCTCTGTTGGAAAACACAAGGAATGCCCAGGGCGCAGACTCTGGGGTCATCCCACATTGGTCCCCACGAGGACAGATCTCCCGAGCTCTCCAACGCCCTGGGGGGCAGCCCACTCCTGGGAACTCGGACTTGTGGGGCTCACTTTGGAGGACTTGTTCCAGGAGGGTTTTCCTCCCTTTCCTTCCACTTTAACTGGAAATACTGAGCCTGTACACACTCTGAGTAACACCGGACCCTTCCACCTGCTCCCAGCCTCCAAATCTGGTGGAGGTGGTGCCTGAAGCCTCAACACATAGGCCACACTCCTATTTCTCAATCAGGGCATGTGGAACCCCACAGCAAGCGGACCAGATGACACCTAAAACCACTGGCTAAGTGGAGTACGTTTTTTGGGAGTGCAGTTTGATTCCACACTCCCAACTATTTTTAATAAAAACAGTTATTCAGGGACGGGGACTGGCTGCTGCCGGCTGCTTCTCCTCAGACGCACACTCTGCTTTTCTTTGCTCTAACACTTCAGTTTGTTTTCACATTTGGAAGAGAACCAATGAGACACACAAACTCCTTCTTCTCTATCCCTTTTGGCTTTTTACAATCAACTGCAAAAGACTGTCCACGTTGCAGAAAATTGATTTCTTTTTGCCATTTAAATAATCTAAATGGAAGGCGATAACTTGGTGGTAGGCCAATAGCCCAGCACATGACAGGTCCTGGGTTCAAGCCCTAGCACCAAACAGAAAATAGCAAAAAAAAACCAACAGCAATAAGCAAAAGCCCTTAGATATACAGACAAATGCAAAATTTGCAAGCGGTTTTAAAGATGAAGTGAGACGCCAGAGAAATTCTAGGGGCTACCCTTGCTTCCTCTGCTCTTAGCATTGCTTTGATGAAAGTTCAGAATCAGACCAGGCGTGCACAGGGAAGCTACCTGCTGGCCTGAGACTCCCGGGCCGGTGCACTCGGTCCTCAGTGAGTGGACCGGGGCTAAGTGGGAGGCCTGACCAAGAGTCACGCCTCCTCTTTGGTCTGCAGACTGGAGGGTGAGCATGCGGTCTTGCTCCCTGGGGACCTTGGCCCCGTTTAGTAACAGAGGAAATGTAGTCCTAGAGACGAAGAAGAGGGAGCCCTGATTCCATGCAGGCTGGCCCCTTCCCTGTGAGGTTTGACTCACTGATGTGAAGGGGGCTTTCCCGGCTTCCCTCTCCAGATGGGCTGCTGGAGGATGAGCTGCTGGCGGGCGTGGTGGCCAGGCTGGGCAAGTTCACAGGGCTGTCCGGAAGGCAGCTGAGCAGGCCTTGGAGAGGGCAAGTGCCCACCGGCACAGCTGCTGTTGAGACGAAGGAGGAGATGCCAACTGCCAAGACGCCCCGACAGCACTGCAATCCCAGTCCTTCCTCGCTATGTTCAGCTAACAATAACCTGGATGTCAGTGACCTCAGCACTGCCATCGCTGAGCTGTAAAGTCTACATTTACAGCCACAGTTGTGCCCTGGTAGAACACAAAGCAACAGCTCTAAAGCCACTTCTCAGCAACCCTGTGCCCCCCGAGTCTGCGCCCCACTTTCTCCTTCATCGTCCATCAGCTGAGTGGGGCTGGGGTGTGCGGAGATCCTGGGGCGCTGCGCTGAGCCAGCAGATGGGAGACAGAGAGCTGCAGAGGCAGGGGGCACAGCGCCGGTGGCAGGTAACTGGGCCTCCACGGCCACTGGAACAAGACTCTGCCTTCCTAACTCATTTGCACAACCAGGGACAAACACACTGGTCACCGACCACGTGAGGTACAAGGTGACCGGGTGGGATCACCACGAGGAGGCTGGATTCATAAAGAATCTGCTAGGAACAAGGCCGAGCTGCTCTCATATCCACTGGCCAGGACTCGCAGGGTGGGCACGAAGCCCAGCCACCAGGAGCCACTGCCTTGCTGCGGGTGCCAGGAGCTGGCAGGCACGTGGCATGCAACGCCGTGGACTTCACCTTGTGGAGTACAGGGCGGCTCCAGATGGCCACCCTCGCCCTCTGACTTACCTCGAGGGCTCGCTCTGTCCCCGTCCAGGCTGGCTCCCCCACTCTCAGGGCCATCCTCGGTGCCCTTGGTTTCCCCGAACAAGAACTCCGGAATCTCCTTCACCAGCTGCACCAGGGCGGTGAGGTGCAGGCTCTGCTGCAGCTGTCCTCCTGCAAAGGGCCACCATGAGCCCTGTGCCCCGCGGCTGTTCCGTGCATGTCATCACATCCAGCCCCTTGGGCAACCCTTGCAACCACAGGAGGTCAGACTGATGTCCAGGAGCAGAGGACCTGGGCCCAGGCCAGGCGATGTGCCCAAGGGCACAGCCAGGACAGGGTGCATGGTGGGTAACAGGCTTCTTTTACATGGTTACTGTCTTACTCCTGTCTCCTTTCTTTTTCTTTCCATTTTTTTATTCATATATATTTGCAATACATCGTGTTTACATACATCCTGGGGTTTACATTCATCTTGCGCTTACTTAGTTCTTTTTATTCTCCCTTCCCTCCTCTCCCTCCCAGCTCCTTCCATCTCTGGATCCCCATCTCATTTGCAAGAGATTTATCATCTCCCTGTCTTCTATTGTCTATCTTTTTAAAAACTTTATAATTTGAGTTTCTCATGTACAAAAAGTTATGAGATGTTTAAGTTCATGTGTCTGATTTAATCACTTCAAATTTAAAGAACTAGAAACCACTCCCCTAAGATTCATATGGAGCCAGAAGAGACCCAGTATAGCAAAAGCAATCCTGGGGCAACAAAAAGAAAGCAGAAAGCATCACAATTCTGGACTTCAGGTTATACTACAGAGCTACAGTGATAAACACAGCATGGTCCAGGCACAAGAACAGACATCTGGATCCATGGAACTGAACAGAGGATGTAGAATCAAGCCCAGGCACTTTCAGCTCTCTGATCTGTGACAGAGGGGCCAAAAACATATGCTGGAGGAAAGACAGTCTCTTCAGCAAATGGTGCTGGGAAAAGTGGTTACACACATGCAGACTGAATTTAGACCTCTATCTCTCACCTGTATCAAAATAAACATGGATCAAAGACATAGATATGAAAACGGAAACACTTAACCTGCTGGAAGATAAAATAGGAAACAGTCTTGTTCCCTTTCTTAAGGTGAACATCAAGAAGGGCTATCTCCACTTTCTAGGCCTCGCCCAGCCTGGGCCCTGTGGACCACATTACCATCTGAGGAGCTGCAGGCTGGCCCCAAAGTCGGGGATGGAGTAAAGCCTCCATGAAGGCCAGAGGAGGGGCTGAGGCAGGAGAGTGCCCCGAGGTGCCCCAGGCTTCCTATGAACACTTTTCCATGAACCACAAAGTACAGAAAATGTATCACGGGGAAAGCTGGGGAGGGTTAGGGTGGGCCTGAGCCGTCAGGGATGACACTGTCATCTGAGGGCTGGAGCCTGGGGGCTGAGGACTGTGAGTGTGAGGGTGCCCGAAGTCTGCCAGGAGGACTCACCCGAGGGGCCTCCCCCCACAGGAGGCTCCCGCCCCTGCTCAGGGCGGCTCGCTGTCCCTGCCACTCCTCCAGGCTCTGTGGGTAACAGGAAGGCGGAGAGAGGGAGCAGTTCAGCTGTCCCTAGGAAGACAAGACGGACGCTCACCCTGGGAACAGAGCAGCCTCTCCTTCCCATGGTCACACAGTGGCCAGATGCCTGCATATCTGTGCTTCCATGGATGCCTGTGTGGCCACCCAAATTCAAAGAACAGAGGTTACTGGGTGCCCCTCGGAACGGCACCCAGAACCCCACAGAAGCAGCAAGGGCCCAGGAGTGAAACTGAGCCCCAGGCCAGCCTCAAGCTCTCAGCACGGCCCAAAGCATCCATCTCTCAGATGAGAAGACTACGACCCAGTGGGGCCCGAGGGCCCCTGAGACTTAGGGAGCCGCAGCCGACAGCCCTCGCGCTTACCCACGGAGACCAGCGTCTCGTAGTTCTCCCGCATCACGTCCCGGTAGAACTCCCGCTGCCCTTCCTCCAGGAGCCGCCACTCCTCCTCCGAGAACCGCACGGCCAGGTCCTTGAAGCTGATGGGCACCTGCGGGCACAGTCTCGGGGGGCTGGCTGGTTCCATGCCAGCAAGGCCTGGCCCAGCTGCCCCTCGGCTCAGGGGCCCGTCCGCGTCTCCCAGTGGATGCTGAGCGCAGGAAGAAAGAGGCAGGAGTCTAACACCAGGAGCACCGGGGGACAGGACTACCTGTAGCACCAGCAGTCAGCCGGGTCCCAACAAGACATACTGAAGTCCTGATTCCCATCTCTGTGGACATGACCTCATGTGGAAACAGGCTCACTACAGATGAAACTAGTTAAGAAGGGGTTACTTTAACCAGATGACTAGTGTCCTTACAAGGAGGGACAAGAGGTAGACAGATGGAGGCAGAGACAGGAGTGATACGGACATAAGCTACGGAGCACCTGCAACCACCAGAAGCTGAAAGGCAAGGAGGTCCCTGCCCTGGGACCTTGGCAGGGAGTGCGGCCCTGCTGACACCTTGATTTCAGGTTTCTGCCTTCTAGAACCAGTGAGAGCAGAAAACTCTGCTGCTTTAAGCCCCCTGGCTTGTGGTCCTCAATCGTCGAGGTCCCAGAACACTAATGACAGTCTCGTGCTTTGTGGCCGCGGGCCAAGGCAAAAGTCAGGCCCGGCCAGCCCTAAATTTAACACATTAGGTTAGATTAATTTGCACTAACAAGCACACTTTACTGTGAATGTGCAAGGACCCAGGATCCTAGCACTGTGACATTAAAAATAAAGGGACACCAAGGTTGACCCAGACCAGACAGGTTCTGGATTTTCAATCCTGCAGCGTTTGCATATACAAATGACATATCTTGCGATTGGCACCCAAGTCTATAAATGAAATCCATCTGTTTCACATGCTCCCCTTTCACATAACTGGAAAGGAAGTGAATTTAGACGGTATTTCGAGTGTATTGTAACTGTGACGTATCAGGTGTAGGGTTCTCCACGCATCGTGTCCTGGTGCTTGGAAGTTTTGGATGTTGCAGCATTTTAGGTTTCATATGTTTGCACTGAGGATGACCGACCTGTGCTGAACTCTACACGTTTTGGAAGAGATGATACAACAGTCAGGATCAAACAGATAAAATACTTGTGTTGCCCCTCTAAGTACCACTCAGTGTGGGGCATATGGTAGGTAATAAAAACCTCACGCAACTTCACCTTCTTCCCTTCGCTGGAAGCTGTGTCATTCTGTGTATTTCTTTTCTTTTTTCTTTTTTGTAGTCAGAAAATCCAGCAGCCTTGGAGAGCCTCACATTGTTTTCAACTCTTCTACACTCATTCTGCTACCTTGTGGCTCTTTAGGCAAAAGCAACATTTCTGTCTTACTTGAAAAGGTCATTCATGGGCTTGAGAACAGCCATGAAACTCTAGAAAATGACCAGCATCTGACAGGCATGGACTTAACATTATGGAAAAAATGAACTTCGTGCAAATAAAGCAAACAGAATGTAAATGACTGGAAGGGTTCTTCTGATTTAGAAACAAATATTAACTATTTGTGAGAAAGAATTATTAAAATGACACTCCTAATAAAGCAAACATGATCTACTGCCTTGTTTCACCTACTCAAATCAGTGACTTAAAAAAAAAAAAAAAACCCTGTCATTGAGCTAGGCATGGTGGCACACACTTGTAATCTCAGCACTCAGGAGGCTGAGGCAGGAGGATCACCACAAGTTCGAGGGCAGCCTGGGTTACACAGTGAGTTCAAGGCCAGCCTACACTACATGAGACCCTATCTTAAAAAAAAAAATCAAAAAAACTATCACTGCTATTAACTGGTGGCTTTATCACCTACTCACTGCTACCATCTCTTCCTGCCAACCCTGAAGGCTAAGAGCTGGCACCACAGCCATGCCCCCAACCCTCGGCTTGCCTTTGAGCCTGTCAAAAGTGGGTTCCATCCATGGATCTGGCTCCAGGCAGCCTCTCCGGTGACCGCCTGTCTGTTGACCAGCAGTGTGGAAGCCCAAAGGTGGTCAGAGGCTGTAGCCTTTGCGTCCCCGGCTTACTCTATGACCCCAGCCCTTCTACAGCGCTGTAGGCAGCTCACAGCCTCCCCGCTGAGCTAACTAACCTGTGGCTCTGGCCCATTACAGTCACTCCTTCTCTGGAACATCTCAGACCCCTCCAGGACCTCTCTCAGTGATTTACATTTCTTCCTGGCCGGCCTTCTGGACCAGGGTTGGTGCCACAGAGCTAACAGGACAGGCCTGATGCTGCCGCCCTTAAAAAGGCCGTGGGTAGGCGGGCCCTGGCAAGCATCCGGGAACATCAGAAGGGTCCCCACCATTCCTGGTGGCTGGGGTGTGCTAAGGGTAGTTTGTGCTAACCCTCTGCTTTCCTTCTGGGAGCATGGAATTTGCACATGTCCTAGACATAGGGTGCCTGTGTGACCAGCCCCAGTGACAATCCTGACTGCTGTCTCTAGTGAGCTTCCCTAGTATACATGTCACATGGGTTATCACAACTTCATGCTGGAAGAACTATGTCCTGTGACTGCACTGCATGAGGCCTCTGGGAAGTTCATCCCCTCGTGTCCCCAGACTGCGCCCCATGTGTCTCCGCCATCTGCGGTTTTGTGTGTGTCCTATCTGCTCAGTCTGCCTCCTCCTGTGAGTCCCTGAGTCTTGGATGGTCTTGGGGACCCTGTCAAAGGGCTCCATGACTCTTGGTTGCCTCATCTCCATAATGTCCAGCCAGAACTGGGAACTAAGTCTGTCTTCTTTATAAAGTAGTCAGTCTCAGGTACCCTAGTGGCACAAAACAAACACGACAGGTGACCAAAGACTTAATCAGCCACCGTATAGTTCCTGTTTGAGGGCTAGCTCTCGTTTTTTACTGTGAACAATTGGCTTATTCTGGATCTCAGTTTATGTTCTGTTTCTACAATAGAATGCCTGAGACTGGACAATTTATAAAGAAATTTCTTACAGTTCTACAGGCTGAGAAGTCAGCCCCACATCAAGAGGCCATGGCTGCGGAGGGCACTCTTTCGCATCCTAGCATGTGATATGGTGAGTCGGGGCAAGCCAACCAGAGCTCACATTTTACAGAAAGTCACTCCCTCCATAACTGATTAATCCATTAGTCCATCAATGGAGCAATCCATTCATGAGAATAAAGTCTTCATGACCCAATTGCTTCCCAAAGTTTCCCCTCTCGGGGCTGGGGATTTAGCTCAGAGGCACAGCGCCTGCCTGGCAAGTGTGAGGTCATGAGTTTTATTCCCAGTATGGGGGAGTGGGAAGATGCCAGTTTCCCCCTCTCAAACAGCATGAGCAAAATAAATAAATAAATAAAAAACATAGAACAGCGTTAGCATACAACTTTGGAAGTAAGTTTCCAACACATGATATTTGGAAGCCACTCTCAAATCACAGCATTCTGATCTACCTGTCTTCTGCGAGTTTGGGTAAAGTAAGTTGATTCTCCCAAAAACTGTAAGTTATGGGTGCACTGAACTAACTGGTTATGGGACTTCAGCCAAACTACTTAACCACTTGGGCCTTAGCAAACTCACCTATGACATTAGGATCATGATAAGCTACCTCCAAGGGATGTTGTGAAGACAGAGAGAATTAGCACAGGAAAAGTGCCTGGAGTAAATGCTGGGATGTGTACGGTGCTATGACTGGTATTACTGCCACCAGGTCTGCCTGCGGGTCACACCCTGGCACCTTGGGGCTCTTCTACACACTGCTACCTCCAAGGCCTTTTCTCTACAAGCTAAATAGATCTGGCTCTTTTAGACATTTGTGAGCAATGCTTTCCAGGCCTCTTCCATCTTTGGTGACTAAGCTTTCATAAAATGCAAATGGGAACTTGCTGTAGCTAGAACTGGTGCTCTTGTCAGAGGCTTCCCAGGGTCCAGAGAAACTGGAGGAAAAATGGTGCATGTGCAAATAAGTGAAGTGCAAATGCTTGTCTACAGGAGGGGGGTAGTCACCTGCAGCTTACCACCTGCACCCTCTGCTGTCCTCGGACCTAACTTCAGCCTCCTCTGCCCAATAAACAGAGAGAAGCTTTAGGGGCTGGTCTAGGATTGCTAGAGCCGGGCAGCCTCCTCCAACATCTCTGCTTTCAGAATATGAACCTTACCAGTGTAGACCATCCTCCTGGCTCATTCTGGGCTCCTACATCACTGGAGCACACTCTGCACCACACTGCCCCCTTTTTCCCCCCTTGCAGGCTGTAGTCACACACCCCTGGGCTTCTGGAAGTTGCACTGAGCAGGAGGGTCACAGGCCCTCTCTGTCCTCTACCCGGCTATCACCCTGCACTCCCCAAGGTTGCTCCTAGCCACCTTCCCCAAGAAGCTACCGTGTGAGGAAGCATCCTTCCCTGAACCTCAGTGGTCCAATCCCTCATTTCACAGAAGGCCCCGGGGCAAGGTCTGGGCAAGGGTGTCCTTGGGCTGCCTGTCAGCCAGAGCTGCAATGGAGACTGACCCTGTCCAGGAGCAGTTCATTTTCCTCGCTCCGCCCCTCTTCTACGATGCTTGTGTGATGACAGGGTGCTGGCACAGTATCTGCTCTGCCTGGCCACACTTCCAGCCACCGTCCCAACACGGTTGCCTGAGTCCGGCCAAAGCTCCTGAGCTACCACAGCTGCACAGTGAGCTCCAGGCCAGAAGACAATGCAGCAAACCCCCAACGGCATCTCCACAGCCAAGCCCAAATTGTGCCCCAGTGACGGCAGACGGAGCTCTCCCTGCAACTCTCCGGGCTACACGCCTTAGCAGGGTAAAACTTACAATCTGTTCTGTCTTCTACGTCTCCCTACTCCCCGGGATTCAGGATCTTACCAAAAATAAAAGTATCAGACTTAGCCATTCCCCCGAGGCCTTCACACCCACCACCATTACTCTCAGGATAAGTTGTAACAGAAAGAGGCCATGCAAAGCAAAGGCAATGCTTAAGCCCATGAACAAGTTTCCCCGGATGGAGAGAAGCCAGAGGTCCGTGCGTCCTGGGGGCGGGCAGTGGGGAAGGGCGGAGGAGGATCCAGACTTCTTGGCTCGAAATTCGGGTACGCCAGGCTCGCCCAAAGTTGGCGGTCGCGGTCTTCCCCGCCCCGCCGTCCCTGTCCGCCCGCGCGTGCGCCCCGGCTCGCCTTACCTGGCGCGCCATCCCGGGCCCCAGCCTCGCGGCCGCCCCTTAACCACCCCAGCTTCCGCCGCGGCCTGGGGTGGAAGATGCACCGCGACCCACGGTGGCGGCTGCCCAGCTCCACGAGCAGGGAGGCGGGGCCGGGGGGCGTGGGCCGCCAGGGAGGGGCCAGGGTGGACGCGCCCGGGTCCGCCCCCCTTATCTGGCATCCCGGTGGGGGTGGACCCGCTTCCGCTCAGAGTGCCGGGCCTCCGGTGTACGGCCGGCGCAGGAGCGGACTACACTTCCCAGAAGGCTCCGCGGAGGCAGGGGACGCCATCCCCTGTGCCCTAATTGCCCCACCCTGAAACTGCGCATGCCCGTGCGCACGCTTAGGTACTTGCGCTCTTTGATTGGCTCTGGGTTGCGCTTTTGGCTAAGATCGAGTGTGGATTGCAGTTACATCTTTGGCTTGCAGTTACATCTTTGCTAGCTACTGCTGGCTTAGTCTATTGATGATGGCAGCCCCGAGCAAGTAGTAGACCTTAAATAAATGCGTGATGAACCACTAACCGTGGTTCCCATCATTCTCCGCCTCCCATCACACCCGCAAATTCGGGTGTGACGCTCCCTGCGAGGCGTGGGGTCCAAGCTGAGCACTCATCCTCGTTTCCCTATCTGGAGGACCCCAGTTAAACAACCCGAATAAGGGGAAGGGGGTGACCTGCTGCTGGAGACAGCGGCTTGGAGGAGCGGCGGGAGCAGCGGCTCATAGAAGGGCACACGCTGCTCTGAGCTTGGCACCCCGGCCCAGACCCCTGTCAGGAGGCCCTCATCTTGAAGAGTCGAGGGAGGAAATTTCTCCCCAGCCGACCAACTGGTCTCTAGCACCGCTGGGATGTGACGGCTTCCGCTGGCTTTGTGGCCGAGAACCTCTCAGAGCGTCAGATGCAATGCTGACACCCCTGGGAACGGTTGCGGGGGAGACAAGTGGGCGGAGACCACTTTCCGTCTCTGCCCAGTGGAGCCAGGGCAAGGCGTTGCCTTCATACCCCACGACATCTTTGATGCAGGACCGGTCTTGTGCAGCCTACCGAGCAAAAGCTGAAGGTATCACAAGAGAAAAGGCAAACCTAAGGTTCAACGTCTCCCCTCCAGTGGCACCTCAGGGTAAGTCCCAGGCGGGAAGCCAGGGACCCACGGACCCCTCTCTTCGCCTCAGGATTCTCCAACTTTAAAACCCCAAAGTTTAAAAACTTTTTACAGGGGAGTAGCCCCACCTAAAAAGACACACCTTTATTTTAACCCTATGGAGTCTTGCCGCCTATTTGACTCAAGCACCCGCTTCCTGACTGGGCGCTGAATAGCCTGTTCTCCAAAATATGGAGAAATGTCCTGCCACTCCCCTACCCACAAAGTCTTAGGTACACGTTTGACTTGATAACGTGCATCTACACCAGCCTTTGTACACCAGCCTTTGTATGTATATTACAAAA